AACAACAGCTAATTGGGTTGAGCTTTAGAATCAAACGGGTGACGTCACCAATAGTCTGTGGTTTTCATACTGTGTTGTGGGACATTTATGGAGGATATCGGGGGGAAATACATCAATAGCATTGGCGCAAGTGTTGCTGCAAGTACACAGAGCTGCAGAAGTAGTCTATCTTGTTGTTGTTGTGGATAAAGTTTGAGCATGAGCAAATTTGAGCCCTCAGATACCACTGCTATGATGGTTGTCTTGACCCGGAGCGAGTATATCAGCTTTAAGCTTCACAAGATGGGTCAGATATGGAATCTGGTTGGAAAGATGGCGCAAAATCTGCATGGCTGTCCATTAGTGATGGGCACGGTAGTTCTTTTAGATGAACTGAATCACTAGAATAAGTTCACTAAAAAGATTCGTTCAAAAGATTCGTTCATTGAAAAACGGAATCATTTAGCGCTTGGTGGGAAGAGCATGTGACTCCGACCTCCTAAACTGATACTCAGCTGAACGGTTCAGGATTCAGTTCAAGTCATAATTTCTGGGACTGGGAGACAAGATTGTTTAGCTGTGTTACTTTGGCAAACAGGTTTGTAAAAATGAACTTGTTTATAAGTCATGATATTTTAAGTGTACTGTCCTATGGTATGATATTTATCAGGTCTGCTCGGTAATTGGGCTCAGTGAGTGATTCGTTCACTGAATGTTTAGAAGAATTCATACTGAACATGCACCGTTCCCTTGCAAACTGCTGCAATGATAGGATGCTAAAAAATGTAGTTTTGTCGCATTGAGCTACAGAGAGTGTAGCTCAATGCGTGATTCGTTCACCAAGTGATTCAGTCGTCCGTGCATCTGGTCCCTCGTTCACCAGCTGTTCGACTGGCAAAGCTGTTTCTCACTTCAGCTCAACTGAAGTGAGAAACGAACGAATCACTTGAAGAAGTGATTCGGTTTAGTATGTTCACTTAAAAGATTCGGTTCTTTTGAACGAATCGTTCGTGAACCACACAACACTAGGGGCAAGTATATCAGCTTTAAGCTTCACAATGTGGATCAGACATAGAATCCTGTTGGAAAGGTCCATCCAAAAACATCCATAACTGACCGAAACTATCACCACAGTGCAAGCCGGAAAATGATGCTTCAAATTTCCCTTAGCTTGTTACTACTGAATGACTTCAGAGCCAGCAGATGGAAAATGGAGCCAAAGTGTTTAATTAAATGTCATTTAATTGAGTATTTGCAGAAATGATTGGAAGATTTTGTGGTCAGTTGATTGAAAATAATTGTGTGCCGATATTCTGCTCATATAAAGGTTTTCAGCGTTGCATAAAAACTGCATGAGAAGAAATCTTCTCTTTTAGGAATTATGTATGTATCTGTTCATGTCAATCAAGCCAGTCGTCATTCAGATACAGTCTCAGAGCTCAGTCAGTTAGTGTTGGGAATAAAAAAGCCACACAATCTGCATGCAGAAGGTCATTAAATCAATACTTGTAGTAAACTTTCTCCTCATGTACTCCTAGTTTTTTTACACTGATGCCCTCTGTGCAGCCCCGAAGCCCTCATCTTACGCTGTAATCCAGGCTTGATCCTCACAACCAAAAAATGTGTTGCCACCGAGGGCCTATTTGGCTTGTCAAACGGTTACTGAGTGAGATGCTGAACCCCTACCTGCACACTAACAGCACGATAGCAGTGTCAGCTAAATGCCAAGTGTAAATGTAAATGTGTTTACGGCTGATATAGGGCTGCAATTAGGCACGAGGGTGCATACACAAATTTCAGACGGCTAATGGAAAGCCAATGCGGGACTTTTAACTGCTGAAAATGCAAAAAAATAAGATATTTAGTGGTGGTTTAATCTCCCAGCAGTGCCGTCTGACATAAACAGCATGTATGGAGATGAGGATTTTTGCCTCAATCTGTCCCTTTTAGCCCCAACTCCCCTGTAGAATATCGGCTGCAGCTTGATGGATGGCTTAATTAGAGCCCCGCATCCCATAGTTGAATCACTTTCTAGAAATGAGCAAGCTGTCAACACTCTGGCGCAGATCAATCCTCCCGGTCGACCTTAGTCCAACATCAGGCGCTCCATTCCAGTCCAATTGTTTTATAGAGTACCGGCATGAATGTGGGGACATGTTTGGGGAGGAGGTTTTAATCACAGCAGAATGATGAAATATCCAAATGGATTCGTATCAAGCTGCTCCTGCGCTCGAGTGACTCCATTTCAAGTTTACAGCCCTTGTCTTGTGTCATAAACATGATTCTTAACAGATGTACACCTCAGACACCGCCGGGATCGTTTACACATCAATCATAAGGATGGTCAGGTGTTGTAAAAGGTACTTAAGCGTGTTTTAGTCGCCCGAGGGGGAAGCGAGAGTGCTGGAGATGAGTACTGTTTGTTTTTGGGTCGTTCCCCAGGTTTGGACGGGGTGTAATGTGTGCGGCGGTGGCAGGGAGTCAAACCCGCTCTGCCCTCAGGGGGGGTGGAGATGGCAGGAGAGAAGAGGGTTCAGGGTTGGTGGGGGGCATCGTAGCAGATGTTGCCCGTCCGTCCGACAGGGGAGCGTTTGATGACAGAGACGAGCGCGTCTCGCTGACCTCTACTCCCCTCTTCCTCACACCTCCCTCTCCCAACATGTGTCAGTCAGCGCCAGGTCAATATGGTGGCCCAGTGCGCCTGCCGATGCGCCATGTGCTTCCAAGGAAGGGGCTGGCAGCGCCGCACCAGCACGAATCATTTCCATCCAGTCCACCTGCCAAGTGTGTCAGGACCACGGGAATAAATGAAGCCTTGTGGATAAACAAACACAGTTGATGAGCGTTTTAGGTACATCAGAGACCAGACCCTGCTTAGGTGGGGTTAGTGTAACCAGTGTTTACCCTGCAGTCATAAATTCAAAGCTGTCAAACACTTACTTATACACGCCAAACCACAGTACACACGCCAACACACACATAAAATCGCACCCACTTTTCTCTCATACCCACAGCCCCCCAAACCTGACTCTCCCTCCCTTCCTTCTCCTCCCCACCCTGGCTGCCGGCTGCCATGGCTACCCACTCTCATCCACCCACACGCGCGTCACCCAACCGCTGCAGTTTATCCCATTTGTAACACATGACTGGCCATCATACAGCAATGACCAAAGGGAAGGCGACAGAGCCAGGCAGAGAGAGAAAGGGGTGTCCGGGGTTGCGGCGGCCGGATGGAAGGGCGGCTGGTGGACTGGAGCGGTGTTTGGCTCGCTCTGGTTGGCTGTAATTGGTGTCCACTCTTCCAGAAGCCCTGCAGTGATGGCGGACGGGATGACTCTGTCCGCATTTTCCCTGCCATCCATGATGTGTATGTGTGTGTGTTTGTGTGAGGATGTGTGTGTGTGTTAGTGAATGGAGGCGCACATGTTTTGGGGGCATACAACTGGTGACAGAGACACTGACAGTGTCCATCGGGGCTGTGTGAGTGGGCAGCCAAGGGGTAAATGTTACGATAAGTGGATGTAGCATCTCATTTGATCACATTATAACGTTTATGCTGCTCTTATCTTATCTTATGCTTTGCTGTATCCATGGCAACCTTTGCTTTTGATTAGAAGAGAGAGGAAGGTTGGTATTATGCTTAAAAACACAGCATGATATTTGTGTTATTTAATGTTCTGAATTGATCCCAGAAGTTAGTGAAAGTAAGGGCCTGTGTCCACTAGCTCTCAACAGCAAAAATTCCATTGGCATTAGCATGAAATATTAAACTTTTGCAAAAGAAAGGCCATGTGCCGTGAGGCAAATTTTGTAACCTAGCAACATCAGGGACCAATGAGAGAGGGTTTAGAAATTAAGGTTGTGGGTTCTGCCAGTGCAAAAAAATTGCCAAAATGGACACAGGCCCTAAAGCTGAATGAATTGGTTCTATTAAGTCTTCTTATTTCAAAGAAGAAGTTAGTGAAAATAAGGACCTGTGTCCACTAGCTCTCAACAGCAAAAGCACCATTAGCATTACCATAAAATATTCATTTTTTGCAAAAGATAGGCCAAGTGCCATGAGACAGCATTTGTAACCTAGCAATATTAGGAACCAATAAGAGGGGTTTAGAAACAAAGGTTGTGAGTTCTTCCAGAGGAAAAAATTGACAAAATGGACACAGGCCCTAAAGCTGAATGAATTGGTCCCATTAAGCCCACTCAAGTAGAAATCAGTGACAATTAAGGGTCTATGTCCACTTACACTTGACAGCAAAAGCACCTTTAGCATTCGCATAAAATATAAAAATTTTGCAAAAGAAAGGCCAAGTGCCATGAAACAACTTTTGTAACCTAGCAACATCAGGAACCAATGAGAGGGGGTTTAGAAATTAAGGTTGTGAGTTTTTCCAGAGGAAAAAATTGCCAAAATGGACACAGGCCCTAAAGCTGAATAAATTGGTTCCATTAAGCTTGCTCATCTCAAAGTAGATGTCAGTGGAAGTAAGGGCCTGTGTCCACTGGCTCTCAACAGCAAAAGCTCCTTTAGCGTTAACATAAAATATTTAACTTTTGCCAAAGAAAGGCTTAGTGCTGTGAGAGAACATTTGTAACCTAGCAACATCAGGAACCAATGAGAGAGGGTTTAGAAATAAAGGTTGTGAGTCCTTCCAGAGGAAAAAAAATGCCAAAATGGACACAGGCCCTCGAGCTTTTTTCATTTTTTTTCACAGTGTTGATGTATTGGAGAATAAAATATATAAAAAGGTATTAGTTTTTAAACCACCACCAACAATAACTTACATCATTTTGACCCAGACTGTGCAATATCACCCACCAGAACAGAGCATCTCCCATCTCCAGATGGAGAGCATACCCTTCAATTTAAAGACCTTTGATAATGAGATTTCAGAACAGCCGTCATCTTGAAAGTTAAACTGGCAGCCCGTCCTTTGAAGGAAAGGGAAGAAATCTCTGAAAAATCTGTTATTAAGTAAATTGACGCCTCAGTGTGCTTTCTCTTTATCCTAGCAGCCGTCTCAGTGTCGCGCTCCCTCCCATTCATTCCCCCTCTCTCTTTCTCTCTCTCTTCACAGAAAGGTGTTATCCTTGTCTGACAACTCCCCTATGAGTGAGAGAGAGAGAGAGAGAGGGAGGGAGAGTTGGGGAGCAAAGAGTTGGGACTATGTAGAATGAATGCCAAGAGGAATTAGGTGAACCCTTTTGGCCTGACATATCGGGGGAGGACTCAGGAGGGATCTAATCATCACCTGTTATGAGCTCAGAGTGACTCGAATAACAAAAGAAGTTCAAAAGTGCGCAGTACTGAAGAGAAAAACAACTACATTTTCAGCATTAATAAAATAAAATATCTAATATCATCTAAACTGATAAGCTAAATGGAGTTTCACATCAACACTACACTGTCCAATAATGATAATACTAATACTAAATTATGATTGGTCAAGAGTGGGGCTTGTCCGCAAACCAAATGGGGGATATATGACATTTGCTTGTTGACACTGTGGCAAAAATGTTAGCTATCATATGTACCAATCCTAATCTACATCTCATCTGCTCGTAATCTATTCTAACCCTTACTTAACAAAGAGAAAACTAACAATGTTTGGGATAGACAAAGAGAAAACTGTAGGTCCTTGCACACCAGGCGCGAATTCGGCAGGCTAATTATTCGCCTTTTTTTAAAACAGCAAAAAGTCAATGCAAGCTTTGATTTTTCCACGGGGCGAAAAATTGTCTTTTTCAGAGAGATTCGCAGGTGAATATCTGGACCTGCTAGACCTCTGGCCAATCAAAAGTCATGTTGTTGATGACGTCACAGACCCATGCGGCTGCAGTTCACACGACACACACCACCACCGGCACCAAGAGCAACGATGGGAGAGAGTGTGTACCACAGAGTGGTCGCCCGATGTGTATAAGCGAAAGCGATTTGTCGGACCGGTGAATATTTTCGCATTTTCGTCTCGCTTTTTTCGCTTCGCTCTGCAAATTCGCTGGTGTGTAAGGATCTTAAGACCGTCTGAGATAGATGAAGTGAAAACTAACATTGTCCATGTTAGACAAAGAGAAAACTAAGACCATTCGAGATAAACAAAGTGAAAACTAACAATGTCCATGTTGGAGCTCTGGGTTTGATCGGTTGCAACTTATTTCATTTTTCTGGGAAACAATGGTTTTCATAAAAATTCAGAACAGACAAAAAAAATATATCTTTGTCATATTGACTTTTAATTATTTGATGTCTTATTTATTTTAAATTGTTTTAATTTCTCTTTTTAATTTCCAATAAACTTACCTTGCCTTAACAGAGCGACACTTCCCTAAAAATACACAAATATACACAAAAGCGCTCTACAAATAAAATGTATTATTATTATTATTATTAAATATACACAAACATATCACACTATCTTTCTTACCGTCCAGATTAAATGATTTCTATACTGTGGGGACATGACCTACTGGTCTTTGTTGGTGCGCATTGTAAAAGCAACACAACATAACCACATGAATTCTATTAAAAACCCTGCGATATTTAGTTCTATTAATTACCAGTGTTGATCATGCTCTTCATCCATCCTCTGCTCCCTCTTTGAGGTTTAACCTCCAGGCGAGCCATTAGCGTTGCAACTGAAGAGAAATTCCAATTATTTCTTACATCTGAGGAAATGAAAATGGCACATTAAACATAACAATCAATGTACCTTGTGATTGGTGTTTGCACATTCCTGTGTCACACATGGCCACGCCGTACAGTCCAGATATGACGCTGCCAGTCTATTATCCGGATTTAATGTTTTGTGCAAACCTCGCCGTCAAATGTTCGAGGTGAGGTGAGGTACAGTCCTGTCGCTTTCTTTCCAAACCTTTCTTTAGCTTTAACTGCATGTAATAATGATGGTAATTTAATTCTATGGGGTGCTATTCTATGATTAATCAGGACTTTATTGACTTCATAGTAATGCAGAGGGAGTTTTGAGATACCACAGTTATAACCGTCTGTCTCCCCGTGGCTTTTGTTTCATGTGTTCAGTCACCTGTTTATAGCTGGCTTTAAAGCATGGCTTCTCATAAATAATCCATCTATTACAGATGGGTAACATCTCGTATATCCAATGGGACGATATCTTAATAGCAGGAAGTTGTATCGGTTTTATTCAAGTGTTAAACCCAAGGGCAATTGCCTTAGTGTTTCTTTAAAGTGTTGAATGAATGCCATGAATGTCAATAGGAGAGATAACGTCCCCCGTTTCGGATGCTGGTAACCTTTTGATTGACATTATGAAACCTCATCTTTCTGAATAGTTTACAAGGTGATAGTGGAATAAGATGTACTGTTTAGGAGATTAAATTGGCATCTTTCTATCCAGTTTATCATTATTAAAAAAGACTAACCTGTAATTAATGGGAAAGGGTTTTTGCTTGTTGGGAATAACCCGAGAGTTATCGCCCAGCTCTGCAGATGTGCAGACAATTTTAGCCTCATTCAGCTCATTGTTTGGTTTTATTGGCCCCAAATTTCCTATAAGGTTCCGACTAGCTGCTCTTAACAAGCCTATTTGAGCAGCAGGGAACCATTTCCAGCAAAAAATGTCTGATAAATACACTGCATGCAACCTGCTCGACACTAAGCAAGACAGAAATAGTCAAATCGAGACTTAGATGTCCATGGAAACTCAGCGAAAGGAGTGTGAACGTTGAGCTGTGGTGCTCTGTGATTTAATTCTTTTACATTACTCAAAAAAAAAAAAAGGTTCAAACTCTAATTTAGCTTTTGAAACAACTCAAGCCACTATTTTCTGATTGTTTGTTTTAAGTGCCCCCGAATTTACCGCATCTGGCTGCTTTTAACAAGCCTGTTTTAGCAGCAGGAAGCCATTTTCAGCAAATAAAGTCTGATAAACACACTGCCCGACACCACCAAAATGAGACAAACCTAGCCTCTGAGGGTCTGGCTATTTTTTTTTCTACTAAGTGGAAATGCACTCAAACAAAAGGGAGTGAATACTAAACTCAATGCAAATTATATCACTGTCGAATTACTGTAAGTTCAATGGGAGAGGAGTTTGCAAATTTCACCTCCCTCCGTAGCACCAAAAGTCATTTTAGCCTCTTTTTGCTCGATGGCTGATTTTATTGCCGCCCAATCACAACAACAAATCTAAGCGATCCTTTTTAGCAGCGGGAAGCCGTTCACAGCAAATAATGTCTGATAAATGCGATGCATGATACTTGCCCGGCACAAAAACAACAAAAGGACACGGTTTACAATTAACGGCTAAAAATAGATAAATGCAGACGATAAAGGCTTGGCTCTTTTTTTTTCCCTCATTAGTTGGCATAAAGTCAACCAGAGATCAAAGACTGTTACTGCTCGATTATTGTTTGTTTGACCAATAGAAAGAGGTTTTAACCTGATAATTAAGGCGCATTATTGCCGATCTTTAGCTTAGCTGACTGGCTTGACTTAATGGGTTAAATTAGCAATTAGCAACTAAGGAAAGACTCTTGCTTATATAGGTGTGCATCTATATGACGTTTTCTAGATTTCTCACAGCTGGATATGGATTTTCTCTGCCCTCTAGTGGCCAAAAATCAGCCATGAAGATTTTTTGATTTTTACGAAGAGTATGTGACCACATTAAGAAAAAAAAAAAGGAAGACTTTGTCATTATTTACGAGAATAAAGTCGTAATAAAATCATTTCTTAGGAGAATAAAGTCGTAGCTAATAGCTTTTCTAACCTGTTATTAGTTGTTTAAATGAGCGCTGTGGAGCATTTAGATGAATTGAACTTCAGTAGCTAGGTTTCACAAACAAAGAGATACTAAATCCTTTAGCATTTCAGCATCACATTGTCATAAGTATCAGGACATATGCAAGAAATGTATCTTTTCCACAGAAAGAAATCGCTGTTTTTGAGGAGGGGGAAATGGCTGTAAGTAGCTGTGCAGAGGCTAAATCCCTCAATGCAGCCGTTTATAGCAGTAGCATATGGCTTTAGTTTATCGTATGAATCTATACACCATAAGGTGTTGGTGCCTCTGCAGATGTAGGTTGTTGCTGGTGTTGTGCCGGCATCAGAGACAGACACGGTGATCGTCAAAGCTCGACTCCTGAATCGCAAATGTTGATCATCAGTTGGATTGTGTCTTGAGAAACCACAAAAGCCCTCTGAATGGCCAACTGATTGACCAGTTGACCAGTTCCAGCCATTTCCTCCTCCACAAAAGCAGCTTTGAAGACTTCATGTACTTTACAACTACATTCTCGTAAGTAATGATTTTATTACGATTTTATTCTCGAAAGAAATTACTTTACTACGACTTTATTCTTGAAAGTTATAACGAAGTCTTAATTTTTTTTCTCTTAATGTGGCCCTAATTCTCCGTCGTAGATTTCTGCTCAAAAGGAGTGAATTTTTTTTTACCCACTAGGGGGAATTCCAGCTTTGTTCTCATAAATTCAACAACACAGACTACAAATATCGACCCCAGCAGCGTCGCGCCTCTTCATTTTTTCTTTTCTTTACCCAAAATGTGAAGACACTAGGCGCATGCTAACACCTCAAGGCCTGGCTCAAGACCAGAACCGAGCCTGTGAAATTCAAGATTAGCCGGACCCAATAGTGCTGACCAGGGATTAGCAAGGAGAAACTCCACTGAATACACACTGGACAAATTAGATGTTTTTCCCCCCTGGCTCTTGTTAAATCTTTAGAGAGGAGACATTTGGTGCTTATGGGACTCAGCAGGTAATCCGGCATGGGGGCACAAAAGGTCCTGTTTGGATGGAACTGGCCGGATCTAGCCACTGGTTAAGGGATCTCTGGAGCTTTGGCTTTCCTAAGAGGGGATTGAAAGGGAGACTCAGTGGCCACAAAGCCTCTCCCCAGCTGGCCTTGCACAGCCTCTTTCTGGAGATTACGGGGCTAGTGAAAGTGTCTTAATGGAAAAATGCTTTGGATGGGTTTTTTTGTGAGACTAAGTGGAACAGCAGGACAACATGATGTAGAAGGGAGTGCCTAAAAAGTGGACTTCCCCCCTGCTTTGCGTGTGGATGCGCTGGTACATGTTACCTCCATGCCTGTGTGCCTAAATGCACGTCTGCCTGCACAGACATCAACCTGTCATGTCTGGTCTGTCTATCTGTGTGTG